CCAAGTAGTTTTTCTCCGTACAGATCTGCAGGTTCTGGAAGGGCAAATAATCCAGCTGAGAAACCTTTTTTAAACAGTTTAGTTAAGGCAGGTCTGAGATCCTGGAGAAGAGAAGGCTCAGAGAGAGATTTTACTAAGGTGTGTAAGTACCTGAAGGGAGGATACAAAGAGGAAGGAGCAGGCTCTTTAGAGTGGTGGCCAGTGACAGAACAAAAGGCATCGGGCACAACCTGAAACAGGAGGGTTCCCCTGAACGTCAGGAAACACTTTTTCACTGTGAGGGTGACTAAGCACTGCCCACCAGTCTCCCACCTTAGATATACTCAAAAGCTGCCTGGACATAATCCTGAACAACCAGCTTTAGGTGTTCCTGCTTGAGCAGAGGGCTTGGACCAGATGACCTCCAGAGGTCCCTTCCAGCCTCAACCTTTCTGTGATTCTATGATTATTCCTTTCGGGTTTGACTCTTTCAGTGTACGTTCTTACATATGCTTTTCATCTCTATACTGAAGTTACTTTCCTCAGCTGTACATGCCAGTGTTTGAGGCCTTTGTTGGAGAAGGATAGATTCTTTCCAGTGACAGTTCAGTTCCTCTGATTTAAGTGTTCAAGTCTCTTCTAATGATAGGATCTAAAAGCAGCAAACATTGCAGTTGCCTCACTTTTGGGTGGCTCTGGTGTGTGTGCACGCATGCATATATCTGCACATATGTAGATACATGTTCTCTAGCAATACATATGAACTGTTCATACATATGAACTATTCATTAACTACATATGAACAATACATGTGAACTATTCATTAACTTCCTCACTAGGCCATACATGGCCTGGTGAAGACTTCCCCTTCACTTAATGCTTGTGGGTGTAAGCATGTTAGATGCATCAAATGACATCATGGGCACAGATCTAGTAACAACCAAATGAAAAAATAGAAAAACCAAACACCCACAAAAAAACCCAAACCAAAACACAAAAACAACCTACAAAGATAATTTCCAATAAAATTAACTGCAATGCCAGTTAAGGTAAAAGCTCTAAAACCACATTCTCACTTTGGATAAGAATCTTCCTATGTTACTTGTATTCCTTGAAGTGAATAGCATTTATATGAGCTGCAAAAATTCAGTTTGACTACTAACCACCCCCATCCTGAGTAAAATATAGTTATCTAGCATTTAAAACTTACTTTGC